TGGTCGAGCGGTTGGGATCCGATGGCAATGTTATTCAGGTGTACACAGATGTCGGTCCCGTCTCTACCTATAGACAGGCTGTCGACGCTCTGAATCTTCCAAATGAAACCATTAATCAAATATTATTTGGACTCCAAATCAATGAAATCTATCGGTTATCTCAAAACGATAGTCGACTTGAAATGTCAGATCAGAATAATGACCAACAGATGGATGAAAGCGATACAAAACAGACGGACAGCGAAAAGGCAAACCGAAGAGCTCTTCGTCATAAGGAAGCGCTGAAAGCACTGGAAATACTGAAAGACAGAGATATGGATGGATTGCTATATCTGAGCAAATGTTACGAACCGCTCGACATAATCATGTTATTGATTGACTTCTTAGCCGATTCGCGACCCTTCGCTATATTCAGTCCATATATGGAACCGCTTTCGCGCTGTTTCAATGAACTCAAGAAAAAGGCCGTCTTTTTACGCCTGACTGAGACGTGGCTCAGAAAATATCAGGTCTTGAAAGACAGGACCCGACCGGACATGACTATGAGTCCCAGCAGTGGATATTTGTTAACCGGAATTAAAGTCTCGAAACTTAGCGATTGTTAACATTAATGTAAAATTACTATTCATTTCATATTTTGTTGCAAATAATAAAACTATTTATTTGTGCTATAATTTGTCACACATTTTGGACTTAATAGGGTTTATAGTATTTAAATGAAATACTAGTTATGAAACAAATTAAAACCCAATTTGGGTTATAATTAATGTGTTAACTAATAATGGATTGTTTGCTACAAACTGTGGACCAGAATTAGGTTTTGAATGCAATGTCGACATCATTGATGAGCGGCCCCTCACATGTCCGCCAAAACCATTTGTCGTGCAATTGTTTGAATCGGTTTTACCAATGATTTCATAATTAGATTACAATTAGTGCTGAGATAATGGATAAGTCTGTAGGCGTGGTATCGGTTCCCATACCAAGAATGGGCTGCGAATGGAGTTTTGGCAACGAATTAACATTTTTCAACCCAACCCTCAAGAGTGGATCCACTGGTGAGACGTTAAGAGTGGGAAATGTGTGCCAATTATTGGACCAGAAGTTTGTCAAACCAGACATGTATTCAAACCGAGTCTCGCGGTCTCTGTTGAGCGAATCCATGTCTGTCTTCAAGTCATTGCAACGATTGTCCGCCAAATGCGAACCCCTTTCCCGACACGACCTCATCAAAGGCAGCCGAAGATATCGCTCTGTCATTCACTCGTGTTATTTCAATCTAATCAACACAGAAGACAACTCTTCGGCCGTGAAGTCCATGAGTAATATGTTTTGTCAGATGGAAATCGTGTGGNACAAACACCACATCACTCACCGATTCGTTCAGAAAGAAGTCCATTTGCGGACAATTCTTCATGTCTTTACCCAATGATCGCCTCTTTGGCGGCGAAGCCTCTGTTTCTTGTTCTTCGGATTTGATTTTGTTTCCAAACATGATTTAACCGTTTAATTGAATTCGTTTGCAATTATTTGATTGAAATAAATAAACCAGAATTTAATTCTCGCGACATTTAATTGATATAAACTATTCACGATTTCAACAATTAACTAATCTTTGCATTAGTTTATGGTTTGTTGTGAAATACAATTTTGTAATTTCAAAAGTGAAATGAAGACTCAAGTGTTTTTGGATAAAAATTACTAATTTTATTATACAGTAATTGTGTTTTCATATAATAAGGATATAATGATTAATTTAGTTCTCTTTCAATAGGAATAATCAGTAAAACACGTGAAAAACAATTTATTAATTAATGATGCGATTAATGGCTAAAAATGAAAGTTCGGGCCATATTTCGGGCGATTCCCAAACGAAGAATATCTTCGCGTTGTTTGAGATACTCGATGTCCACATTGGGATCGTCGCAGTGTTGGCCAAAAGTGATCATCTCTTCGAGTGACGCCAAGAGTTGTGACGTTTGTTCGGAATCTAAGACAATGTCTTGTGTCTCCAGAAGTGGTAACGAATCCATCAATAATCGGATTATGAAAAATTTTGGCGCAATATTTGAGACCAAAAGCGAGATCAAGAGTTGGGCCGCACTCTGGAGTTGACAGTCTTTCTTCAACTGATGGAACTCATAATATTTGGCCAAAAACGTCAACCGATCGCTAATTAACATAAACCTTCCGGAACTGCTCAGTATCTCTTCGTCGGGAAACTCTCCGCTCTTGTCGTAATGGACGAGAAAGAGATCCGCGATATGATTGGTAAGCGCCGGGTCTTCGCTCCGAATGGCCCAAAACAGAGCCGATCCGAGTCTCCTTCTGGACAGCCATTTACGCGACAATACTTTGCAAACAGATTTCGTGATGTAATTCAGCGCCAATTTATTGGCAAAATGTATCACTTTATGAGCGACGGAGTCGTCGGTGATTGCAATGCGTTGAAGATTGAGTTCAATGTGATTCAAACCGGTGTCCAAACAGTGGCAGAGATAGTCGATCCCGAAAGGCCACAGACCGTCGAATGTCATCAATGCGTTCGCGTATTCAATGACAAAGAAGTCCCGGAATTTGGCCGGAAATTCAATTTGATGTGAATCTAATTGATTGGAATTGTAGATGAGGTCAACGAAGTGTGTGGCGAACCACCAGTTGTCGTCCCAACAGGAACTGCTCTCTTGGATCACTTGCATCAGATCGTAACTAAACGCCGCGGTTATCACTGCATCCAAACTGGTGTCCGAACGGCTCTTATCGCCCTTTAATGCATACAAAGCGATGCATTTGTGGCACAAATCGCGGAAATTATTCTCTTTAATACACGGATCAGTCAATAGAAGAAGTGATACCATTAAGTGATACCACGACTCAAACAAATGCATTACTTCTTTGAAGGCATCCATATCTCCGCAAAGAAGTCGAGCGATTAGTTTGAGTTTGGGATTGACGTCAAAGATGCCATCATTGAGTGCCTGTTCGCAGGTCTCTCTCCACGACTGCCATCGGAGGTAAAACTCGTGCAATAAGTAATTGCCGGAAATGATTGGCATCTTCTGAAGCAAATCACGCAAAACAATAAATTCTTGCCTTTCGTTGGCGTTTGAATGCAATTCCAACAGAAGTCTCGCGTTCTCTGTCTCTCCCCTCAAGAGGAAGGAGAGAATGACATTCCAATAGTTGGGATCAACTGACGGCATGTCTGCGCTCATCACTTGAGCGGCCAATTGATTGGTTCGCGTGAAATGCCATTTAATCCAAACCAAGAGTTGGTTCAAGAGATAGCCGGACGAGTTGTGGACATCGATGTAAATGATTTCGCATAGATTCCACACGATTTCCATCTGACAAAACATATTACTCATGGACTTCACGGCCGAAGAGTTGTCTTCTGTGTTGATTAGATTGAAATAACACGAGTGAATGACAGAGCGATATCTTCGGCTGCCTTTGATGAGGTCGTGTCGGGAAAGGGGTTCGCATTTGGCGGACAATCGTTGCAATGACTTGAAGACAGACATGGATTCGCTCAACAGAGACCGCGAGACTCGGTTTGAATACATGTCTGGTTTGACAAACTTCTGGTCCAATAATTGGCACACATTTCCCACTCTTAACGCCTCACCAGTGGATCCACTCTTAAGGGTTGGGTTGAAAAATGTTAATTCGTTGCCAAAACTCCATTCGCAGCCCATTCTTGGTATGGGAACCGATACCACGCCAACAGACTTATCCATTATCTCAGCACTAATTGTAATCTAATTATGAAATGATTGGTAAAACCGATTCAAACAATTGCACGACAAATGGTTTTGGCGGACATGTGAGGGGCCGAACATCAATGATGTCTACATTGCCTACAAAACCTAATTCTGGAGTTCTTCTGGAGAATCAGATTCTGGACTATTTGTGGTAAAGAATCCATTATTAGTTCGTTGGTATTAGAATCCATTATTAGAATCCATTATCAATTAATTATAACCCAAATTGGTTTCATAACTAGTACTTCATTTAAATACTATAAACCCTATTAAGTCCAAAATGTGTGACAAATTATAGCACAAATAAATAGTTTTATTATTTGCAACAAAATATGAAATGAATAGTAATTTTACATTAATGTTAACAATCGCTAAGTTTCGAGACTTTAATTCCGGTTAACAAATACCCACTGCTGGGACTCATAGTCATGTCCGGTCGGGTCCTGTCTTTCAAAACCTGATATTTTCTGAGCCACGTCTCAGTCAGGCGTAAAAAGACGGCCTTTTTCTTGAGTTCATTGAAACAGCGGGAAAGCGGTTCCATATATGGACTGAATATAGCGAAGGGTCGCGAATCGGCTAAGAAATCAATCAATAACATGATTATGTCGAGCGGTTCGTAACATTTGCTCAGATATAGCAATCCATCCATATCTCTGTCTTTCAATATTTCCAGTGCTTTCATCGCTTCTTTATGACGAAGAGCTCTTCTGTTGGCCTTTTCACTGTCCGTCTGTTTTGTATCGCTTTCATCCATCTGTTGGTCATTATTCTGATCTGACATTTCAAGTCGGCTATCGTTTTGAGATAACCGATAGATTTCATTGATTTGGAGTCCGAATAATATTTGATTAATGGTTTCATTTGGAAGATTCAGAGCGTCGACAGCCTGTCTATAGGTAGAGACGGGACCGACATCTGTGTACACCTGAATAACATTGCCATCGGATCCCAACCGCTCGACCACAGCAGCGGTCAAAATGCCTAAATTGGTGTCCAATACTATGTATTTTCCGCCAGACATCACATTACATAAGGAAAGCATTTGTGAGAGAGAATCGATTCGTAGAAAACTTTATAAAAACAAAATAAATTATATTTTATGATTTGAGTCTTAACTTAGAAAACATCAACAAATTTACTCTATTTTTTGCGGTCCGCGAGAGAAATACATTTCAGTCAAAAGTCTGACATTTGGCCTCAAAATGGTCACCAAATTAGAGTATTTCTTCTGTTTTTTCTTCAAATACTTCTGTTGAGCAAAAGGTGTCTTTTGGTCAAAAGTGGTGCAGTTTTTCACCAAATTCTCGATCACTTCATTACTGGTGAGACTACTCTTGAGTGACTCGATGTCATCTCTCGACAGTTTCTGTGACTTTCCGTCGTCTAAAATAAATCGATTGTCTTTACTATTGGCCTCTAATTGGGCCGACATTTGTGGCAATTCTAGCGATTGATCCACAGTTTCGTGAATATTAACGACATCCAGATTTCGGTCTTTATTCACGGCATAAGTGGTGCCAAATCTGTGGCCAAAGATGTTATTCAAATGGATTCGTTGTTTACCTAAATATACCGGTCTTTAAAAATCAAATCAATTAAATAATTGCGATATAAATGCTGTGATAATTGTGTCAATCATTTAATTACTTATCAATTTCTGCTTTAATCAAACGACACGACTCTTTATCGTGAGTTCTTCGGATTATGACATAATTGCCGGCTTTGATCACATCCTTGCCATCCATCACACACTTCACGTCCTCTTCGGCCATAATATTGTCTTTGATTATCAATTCAAATGAGAGCCAAACAAAAGCACGTGTTTTGGAGTCAGTAAACAACACAACACTTACTCTTATTATACTTTACAGTCTATTTCACTCCGATTTCAGTCTATTTAGTTATTAATAACAACTTATTATCAATTATTTAATGTTTTCTCAATTAATAATATAAGTGTAATAATAAGCACTCATTTGTGTTAACAATTATAATTGTAATTAAGTTTTACAATCAAATCAAACAATGAATTGAAAATTTCAATTTGAAATTCAATTGAAAACTTACTGCAAATAAAGACATCATTTTTGGGGCAAAAGTGTTGACAATATTTGTAAACAAAAAACATTTAAAGTTTCAATCATTTGATCACTAATTGAGTGATTGTTTTGGCCTTTGATTTGAATCGACAGACATTTGGATGTATTGTCTGTGCAATGGATTCAAGCGATGGATGTATTGGTCTTTACTGCGGAAGGACTCAATTCGGTGACAATAATTACAGCGATTGTGGTGTAAGTGATGTGTGATTTGATGATATGGTTGAATGGATTGTCACTATAATTGATTCCATGTCTTCAGTCATGTTTGCGTGGCTTTCGTGTCGATGGAAACGGTGTATGCGTTGAGTGTCTGCAGAAACCAATGTTTTACGACTGGCTTTACATAACATTTATGGCATTTATTTTAGTCATCATTGAGTGGTATTTGACCGAAGAATGTGTCAAAAGAAGACAATTGACTTTCGATGTCCTGGTATTGCATTCAGTGGTTCTCTTCGAGAATATTGTGTCGCTTCTCATCAGCCTTTTGGTGACCGAACCGTTTGGCTCTCTTCAGCTCAACACATGTCCACCGAAACGATTGTCTGATTTCTATACCTTATTCTTCAATCCATCGCCAGATTATAAGACAACCATATATTGCACTCAAGAAGCAGTCTATCCGTTATATTCAATGATATTTATATTTTATGCCATTTCTCTTCTTCTGCTTCTCTTCCGATCTCTTTATTTAAGACTCATTTCATTTGTATTTAAACTCTTTTCGGGAAACGATTTTCTCCACGATTTACTCAAAGACCCGAACACTACAAAAACCATTTACTTAACTCTTTATGTCATTCCCGGCCTTTCGTTCATTCACGCCGTCTTTTGTGGACTCATTTGTGAGTTGTTTTTATTATGCATTTATATATTCATTGTATCTCTGCTTTCATTCAAAGATTACTCGTTCCCTTATATTATAATCATTGGATCCATAGTATCGGTGGCCATACATATGGCCTCACAATTGGGTAAGAGATGAGACATTGACTGCTGCAGAGACTCACTTGTCTGATGTGATTACAGATCAAAGGCCTTCAAAACTATTGAAGTCGTTGTTTCAGAAGAAAAATGGTCTGATAATAGTGTGCCATTGGTTTGTGCACATGTATGGCATCATATCTCTCACTCAGCTCAAGAACCCATCCGTACATTTGCCTCTCCTATGTTTGGCTCCCATTCCGACCATATTCTATATAATGACCGCTAAGTTTACGGATCCAAACAAATTACACGCCGAATAACATATTAATTCAATTCATTTTTATTCATTATTTTGTAATATTATTGAATATTTTTTGGCACAAAAATAACATTATTTTACAGTTCAGTCTTTTTTTCATTACTGTTACCATTAATCTCATAAATATTTATAAATTTGTTATATATATTATTGTTTGTAAAATAAATTATTAAATCTCAATATTCCATAATTTTTTAGCAATAATTTCGTTAAAATAAATGCTTTAATTTGATTAAACAAATAGAAATGTCCGGTCAGTGAATATAAACGGCTAACACATCACATATGATATACTTTTACTATATTTTATTCCTATACTTTTGTGTGATATTTCGCACACATTTAGCATTTGATCCCATTCACATTTATTGGACATCTCTTAATAATAAAACAATTATTTTAAAGCACTTATTAATACAGTCATCAAATGTTACCCAAAATTTTCCTAAATTGTTAGAAAACGAGCGCAACCTTTGATTCATTGATTGATTAGAGAAAATGTATTTAATGTTTATAAATGTTTTGAATACTTTGGGTTTCAATTCTTTTAGTTTTTGAAATTTTACACTATTAGTGAAAGTATCCTATATTTCTATTTTTAACCGTAAATATCAATAATTTCTGAATCTATTGAGAATTAGAGCAAATAATAAAATGTGCTGTATTTAAATGAAGCACACTTTAAATTGTCAATAATAGCATCTCTAATACTGTCTATCATTGAAAACACACCAAAATTGCTTTGTATTCAAAATTCTTATTATTTGTATAGAAGCCTAGAATATACTGTATATTTTGGGGAATATTTTTAGTAAAACATTAGAAATATAGCATAAGAGTAGAGGAAATGTATTGAGTATTTCTACAATAGAGTGGAAGCATTGAATGAAAAAAATGATTTGAGATTTTAAAAGTAGTTTTGATGTTTAAGTCGAGTTCATGTTTGCTTTGAAGGCTGGACTCGATTTAGCTCCGGCTTTAATAACTCAAGCCTTGAATGAATTATTGTTTCTTTTCTATATTTGGCAACAATTTTGATGGAGTCTTGATTTAACTGTTAAGTGACTTATTGTGTGTGAGATATAAATTAACGATAACTTAACAAACAATATGTGGTATTAATTAATAAAAATAAAATTATTAATGGAATAGTTTTGGAAAACGTTTAAAATATACTGTAGATTTTAAAATGTTTTATGCTTTTAGTTAAAAGCTTAGAAGTTCTTAATATAAGTTTTAAAAACAGGTATAACAGTAATATGAATACCAAAAATGTTTAAATCAGTTTCATTTCAATAACATTATATACAGACTTTCAATAACTTAATATGAATATTTTTCTAGAAAAGGATTCTTAATCATACAAACTAATGTTAAAACTTATTAATGACATTAAACTTTAGCATTAAAAAATGTATTTCAACTTATTGAAAAACATTCATTTTGTGATTTTTATATCAAATCCTATGAAATACCATAAATGAGTTTTAACATTAGTTTGTACGACTAAGAATCCTTTTCTAGAATAATATTCATATACTGTATTTGTATTAAGACGAGTCCATCAATGAACAGAAAAATTTCTTTCTCGTAAAGTATATATTGGAAGAAATTTAAAAATTTTTACCAATTTTTGAAAACATGATAGATTTTAGCCTACAATTTGATAACTTATTTTATATACCAATCGATACTTTTATCTGTAATTTAAAGTATTAAAAAACGATAAAATCCTTTGTGTCGATACGAGACTTTGCCAGAAATCACATCTATATATAACACTCTATTTTTGCGGCCAATTTGTATTCAATTTCGGCATTTTTATAGATATCGAGCGCCTGTTATATAGTTAAAAGCTTAGAAGTTCTTAATATAAGTTTTAAAAACAGGTATAACAGTAATATGAATACCAAAAATGTTTAAATCAGTTTCATTTCAATAACATTATATACAGACTTTCAATAACTTAATATATTTGTATTAAGACGAGTCCATCGATGAACAGAAAAATTTCTTTCTCGTAAAGTATATATTGGAAGAAATTTTAAAATTTTTACCAATTTTTGAAAACATGATAGATTTTAGCCTACAATTTGATAACTTATTTTATATACCAATCGATACTTTTATCTGTAATTTAAAGTATTTTTTTGCTATTTTAGGAAACACAGCTATGCTCTGAAACGGTCTTTAGTGTAGATATATATTGTGAGATAAAAACGCCGGTTAAACATAAGTTAAAGCCGTAAAAATATCTATAGCTCGCGGACAATAAACAATTATAATAAAAAAGTCAACTAAATATTAAAAATAGTCGTTTTAATTAGCAAATACTAACGTTTTCGGTCTCTCTTTCCAAATCCTGAATTTGTTTTTCGTGTAATTTCTTGAGTTTTTCCTTTTCCTTGTTTTGCTTCATTGCAGCCGTTTTTCTCTCTTCAATAAACTTTTTAGTATTATTGCTATTCTTTTCACGCAATCGTCTCTCCCTTTCGGCTTTGTTTCGCAGTGTCTTATCATTGGACACATCTTTGGCCGTCTCGACCGACACCTTCGCCTGTCTTGTCTTCATTTCTTTGCTTTCCCTTTCAAAAACAATTTCTAATTGTTTTAATTGAAAGTTTTGGTTCGCATCCAAAAGTTTCCTAAGAGTCTCTCCCTGTTGTAAAATCTGGTTCTTCAAGAGATCCCATTCGTCTCTGTGGTGTTTCTCAATCATTTCACTCCACTGTTTCATCTGATGTGCGACCAATTCCTTAACACTGGGATCGTTGGCGATGTCATCAGTTTTGGTCAGTTTCATCACTTTATCGATGGCAACGCACTGTTGCTTTTGAGTGCAATGTTTCTCCTTTTGTTGCCTCTTCTTAAGCGACTCAAACTCTTTCTGGTGTTTCCTCATTGTTCTGATGAACAGTTTTTCACTTTTCAGAGTTTCTAAATTAATCGCTTCGATCTTATAGTCCTCTTTCTTCGCCTCCTCTTCTCGTTGTTGTTTAACGAGCGCTAAATTATGCGTTTGGATCTGAATATCGGTTTCTTCGATACCCATTGCCTTCATTTGTGCGATTCGTTTCTCTTGTGCCGATAGGAAAGCCCTCGGATCTGAGAGGGCGTCCATCAGATCTCCCAACCCGTCGGGAACATAGATTTTAAGCTCAATGCAAATGAATAGCATCGGCAAAGACATGGGAAAGTTTCCTTCGGTTCGCAATGAGATGTGTCGATAACCGGCCTGAAGACCGTCTAATGGCAGTATCCTTTGGCCCAACATTTTCCCGTTTTCATCGTAAACGGCAATACGAATGACCGCCAAATCGGGTAAAACTACTTTTCGAAATATAAACGGCTCCTCATTATAGACCGGATTGAGTCCATTGGAGGGAACCATTCGTGTCCTAAACTCCTTCCTAATGGTATCGGTGGGCAACCCATACATGTCTACCTCGACATAAGTGCCCACTTTCTTATCAGACAAGAACTGACCGGATATGACCCGAACTGAACACTGGGCGGCAATCACTCCATCGACCGGCGATTCGGCGAACGGATCGAAAACTCTGTCCTTTCTTCGCATAAAATCGGGTTTCAATAGATAACCGCAACCGCCGTTGTATTCAAACTTTCCCTGATTTAGTTGCATCGGTAGGTCTGATGTCTGGAAGTTGAGGGCAACCATCTGACAGCCGGCGTTCCAGAAGATTTGTGGCAAAAAATTGCTCGAATCAGCTCGAGTTCCCTTCGGATAGATTCGTGAGTTAACAGAGAATAATATCAAGTGCTTAAGTTACCGGACTCTGAACTCTATTGGATTACGACACAAAAGCCGTTTGCTACTGTATACTTTTGATTAATGTTTTTGTTTAGTTTGTAATTTATATCAACAATTTACACAATAGAAGAATGTGTCACAAAGTGTCACAAAACTGACTGAATATTCTTTTCTTCCGAGATATCAAAGCCTTGAAACTTAATGGGTTGCGCGTAATTGACCAGGGACGATAGGAATGGGTGAATATGCAGTGTCGCTCCAGTGTACTGATAGTTGGCCATCGCTAACTGTTCCGGTTCCACGTCGTCCGTCTTTTTATCTACAGTTATAATCAATAAATTTATGGTAATATTATTGTCGATATTAAGATAAATGTAGAATAAGTACCGCTTTCATCGATGGAAGTGTTGACAACCAAAGTGGTGACAGCGTTGGCGTCTTCATTCTCTTCGTCGTCATCCTCCGCCGCGAGCTGACCCTTCTTCCACAGATCCAATTCCTCTGAATTATCAATTATACATCACTTTAATAACTCTTTTGCTTAATTTTAGCACTTTTATTGACTCACGTTTTTCAACATCAGGTTTGAGTCTCTTATTTTTGATCAAAATTTTTCTCTTGAGATCATTAGGAGTGGGAAGAGGAGAGCCGGGATCTAACGTATAGTTTGCAAGCGATTCTTTGAGTAACAGATCCCCCAAAATGTCATCGCAGTATTTGGCCATTTTATATTGTTGCTTTTTGCTAACGTATAATAGGTATGTGAATAGGTATGTGAATAGGTATGTTAATAATGCACCAATAATTATGTGTTTTTACTATATTTATCATTTAAATTAATTTATAAATTCTTGACATTTTCATTGAAATATCTTTGAATGGAGTGATGAATACCTGCAATGGTTTTCAAACGACAAAATCACCGGATAATCGGATGTAACAAAAGCGCAGTCACGGATCGCGAAGATTACGTCCTAATCATGCGATTAAACTCTACGTTAATTTATATTTTGAAAAATAGTGACCAGAATTACCTTAAATAATATATCAGTGCACATGGCTTTGCCATGAGTTATAATAGGCTCCTCGTCTACCTTTCCATCCCAACAGTCCAACTCTTTTATAGTTATATTAAACAATTTAAAGATTAAATATAACTTTAATTGACAATAATTATTCAAATATTGATATAATTTACCGATACATCTGCAGCCGGCAATCAATGTCTGTCTATACCTGTAATGCAGTATAATATTTGTTTTACACATTTTAATAATTTTTGTGTTTAAATCATAATATTTTAAAATGTTATAAAATAAATGTTTGTGAATATAATAATTATTGAATTGTTTACAAATATATTAGTAGTGTAAGTGAATATTTATATAGTGAATATTTTGTAAATTTTTACAAAACGTAAATGTAAAATCTCTTATTAAATAAAAAGTAAATTCTGTTATCTATTAATAAATTCAAATTATTAATTTGTATTTAAAGTTTGAGTCAATAAACTTCCAATTTATTTAAAAAAACATAATTTGTCAGAATGAGATATAATAATTTTTGTCTGTACTGAATCACTTATAATTATGAATAACTTATTTCACCAAAATTTAGTTAATAATCAAATGTATTGTTTGACTTACATTTCTACTGAAGATTTACCACCAAATTGTCTGCCCGTTAAGTATGTGTTATGACTAGAATTGCAATAGTAATGAGAGAGGGGTTGATCCATATCCATGTATATGTCCAGTCGGTCCAAGAATACGGGCGCGTTCTCGTCAGACATGAGGTACCGGATCAGTCCGTCCTGTGATATGCAGCCATTTTTGCCGATTTCACCATTACTTTCGTAGGTATTGATGATCTCTTTCGCTCTTTTCTCGTCATAAAACGGATAAAGAATTTCATTGAGTCGAGGATCGCGTTGTTTCTAATACAATACGGTATACATTAGACATCAATATATTTATATACTGGTATTAAACACTTGTTTCCACTCTTATCTTAATAAATGTGTTAAAATTTTAATATTTTTTATGTTTTCAAATTTAAACCCAAATTTAATTATCTGTGCTTTGATGTGATAAATGGGTTAAATATTAATATTAAATAATAACATTTGAATTCAGACTCACGTCATTCAAGAAGTCAATCAATTGCTTGTAATCAATAAATTCCGATTTTCCTTGAGTTCTGTTTTATGCAAATAGTATTAAAATCATTAAATGTTTAATGTTATGTATGAAATGAATTTTGCTTACATAGCGTTAAAAAGCTCTTCGATGTCATTTCTGGGACACACCTTATGGTAGAGTTGATAAAACTTTTCAAAAGTCCAGTCCGACGGCTCAATCACATCATTCTGTATTCAATCAATTATATAATTGTATATATTCTGTATGAAAATAGCAATAACTAATTGCAGACACTATTATAGACATGTATTACTTATTTATTTAATTATAAATCAGTTTTTTGTAATAAATATTTAAAGTAATTGTTTTGGAGTTTTGCAAAGAATTGAATCATTAATACCTTGTCGTGAGGAAGACCTATATCTTTCATGATTTGATAAATTAATTTCTCGGTCTTTCCCGAAGCAAATGTTTTTGCAACACTTCAACGATAATGAAATAAAAAGAGAGAAAATTGTTTTTATTATACATTATTGTAATTTAATAAAACATTCATTTCGTATATAAGTCTTTCTTAAGTATATTTCTTTTTGATATAAATGCTTACCTTTTAACAGGAATTTTGCAGTTACTGTCTGTCAAAAATCCCAATTTCATCCAACTTTTGACAAAACAATGATTAAATTTGATTCAATAATAAGACAATATAAAGATATAAAACATACTGTTTCTTCAAACAAGTGATTGGACAGACATTATTAGCTTTATTATTGTTAGTGATTTGTCGTAACCATTGTTGCCAATCCTATTTGTGACAAAATAATGCATTAAATACATTATTTTATAAATATATTGCCGACAATTACTTTGGCTGTTTGATCGTCGGGACAAACGATGTGAGTGTAGTTAATGTTAACCATATCATAGCCGCTGCATATTGTCAGCGAACAGTCCTCCAGAACTCCAGTCGTCCGTAATTGGAGTTCATATAGAAGTCGCGGTTCCTATCATTCAATATTAAAATTCTTATTCTAAGCCAAAATTCCTTAAGACATGGAAGTTGTCATACCTTTGGCACACCTCCTAACCTAATGTCATTTACTTGGCACAGCTCTAACACCTGTCCCTCCTTTGGTTAAATATTACCATTCATAATAAGCATCAAAAATATTATTAATTAGTAATTTATTATTAAAACAGATTTTCAATTGTCAAATCACTTACTCTGCCCTCGGATTTCCAATATATGAAAAACCCGTATTCATCCACTAACTCAATTGTCTCTTATTATAGTTCACGAATTCAATGGCCTGAGACTTGAGATAACCTAATGCTGTGTTTTCGGCAAACGATGACATATGAAAACTAATTACAAAAACAAATCAAACATTAAATATATCACAATTTACTAGAAGAATATGAGTCACAAAGTGTCACAAAACTGACTGAATATTCTTTTCTTCCGAGATATCAAAGCCTTGAAACTTAATGGGTTGCGCGTAATTGACCAGGGACGATAAAAATGGGTGAATATGCAGTGTCGCTCCAGTGTACTGATAGTTGGCCATCGCTAACTGTTCCGGTTCCACATCGTCCGTCTTTTTATCTGCAGTTATAATCAATAAATTTATGGTAAGATTGTTATCAATATTAAGATAAATGTAGAATAAGTACCGCTTTCATCGATGGAAGTGTTGACAACCAAAGTGGTGACAGCGTTGGCGTCTTCGTTCTCTTCGTCGTCGTCCTCTGCCGCGAGCTGACCCTTCTTCCACAGATCCAATTCCTCTGAATTATCAATTATACATCACTTTAATAACTTTTTTGCTTAATTTTAACACTTTTATTGACTCACGTTTTTCGACATCAGGTTTGAGTCTCTTATTTTTGATCAAAATTTTTCTCTTGAGATCATTAGGAGTGGGAAGAGGAGAGCCGGGATCTAACGTATAGTTCGCAAGCGATTCTTTGAGTAACAGATCCCCCAAAATGTCATCGCAGTATTTGGCCATTTTATATTGTTGCTTTTTGCTAACGTATAATAGGTATGTCAATGTTAATAATGCACCAATAATTATGTGTTTTTACTATATTTATCATTTAAATTAATTTATAAATTCTTGACATTTTCACTGAAATATCTTTGAATGGAGTGATGAATACCTGCAATGGTTTTCAAACGACAAAATCACCGGATAATCGGATGTAACAAAAGCGCAGTCACGGATCGCGAAGATTACGTCCTAATCACGCGATTAAACTCTACGTTAATTTATATTTTGAAAAATAGTGACCAGAATTACCTTAAATAATATATCAGTGCACATGGCTTTGCCATGAGTTATAATAGGTTCCTCGTCTACCTTTCCATCCCAACAGTCCAACTCTTTTATAGTTATATTAAACAATTTAAAGATTAAATATAGCTTTAATTGACAATAATTATTCAAATATTGATATAATTTACCGATACATCTGCAGCCGGCAATCAGTGTCTGTCTATACCTGTAATGCAGTATAATATTTGTTTTATACATTTTACTAATTTTTGTGTTTAAATCATAATATTTTAAAATGTTATAAAATAAATGTTTGTAAATATAATAATTATTGAATTGTTTACAAATCTTATAAAATATTTAGTATATTCTATAAATTTTTACAAAACGTAAAGGTAAAATCTCTTATTAAATAAAAAGTAAATTCTGTTATCTATTAATAAATTCAAATTATTAATTTGTATTTAAAGTTTGAGTCAATAAACTTCCAATTTATTTAAAAAAAACATAATTTGTCAGAATGAAATAGAATAATTTTTGTCTGTACTGAATCACTTATAATTATGAATAACTTATTTCACCAAAATTTAGTTAATAATCAAACGTATTGTTTGACTCACATTTCTACTGAAGATTTACCACCAAATTGTCTGCCCGTTAAGTATGTGTTATGACTAGAATTGCAATAGTAATGAGAGAGGGGTTGATCCATATCCATGTATATGTCCAGTCGGTCCAAGAATAC